AGTCCACGAAAGCTTATGCTCTAATAAATTTGTTAGTCTCTAAGGTGCCACAAGTACTCCTGTTCTTCTTTTTCCTAACACAGCATGGCAAGAAAATCCTCCAAATATTAATGATTAGCGAATTGGAGATAGTTCACCTCCCAATGACTTCATAACTATCTGCTTCAATTACCTTTTGTAAATGAAATAACCAAACAATGATTCATTTTCTAGTATAGCTGTAAAACTAATCTGAAAAGTTTCCAAAATAAATCACTTTAAAAATGTATAGTATGTACCGTCTAAAAATGAAACCTACATCTACTTCTGAGTTGTGAAGAATATGTATTAAGGTTATAACAACCAACAAGCATGCACTTCTATGTAGAAATCCATGATTAAATCAAGTCTTCCTGACTAGTGATTTAAATCATGATTTAAATCAAATACTCCCTGGTGTCCATGCAGCAGTTTTTTGTAAGGCAGCTGACTTGGTACCACACAGCATTCTGATTAAAAAACTAGAAGAATACAAAGTCAGTGTGGATGAAAACTAGCTAACTGATAGGTTTCAAAGTGTAACTGTAACTGGGAAATCATCTAGAAGCACATGTGCTTTTTAGTGGGGTCGCTCAGAGATCGGCTCTTCATTCTACACTATTTAACAGTCAATGATTTGGAAGAGTGATGCTGTAGCCAAAAAGGCAAATACAATGCTTGGATGGATAAATAGGTGAATCTTGAGTAGAAAGATTGTATTACTTCTGTATTTGGCACTAGTGCAGCTGTTACTGGAATATGGTGTCCAGTTTTTGGTTGGTAGTTTCCTTAGTGTGTGGGGGGGTTGGCTGTTTAGGGGTTGTTGTTTTTTAAGTAAACTGAACCCCACCACCACCATCACCAAAAGTTCCACTATGCTGAAACAATGATTTCTGCACAGGTCATCAGCAGGGTTAGGACCTTTAGACCCACAGCACAGATCTGTATCATTTGAGCTAACAGAATAAGTGGTAACACTAGTAGGCTGTTCTCACCAGCCACAAGAGACGGATATGAGAGGCTTTACCAAAGGGTCTCACAGATACCTGCTAATAACATAATGTAACATAAGCTCCACCCCCTGTCGTTCAGTTCCAGAATGGAAAGAGGTAAATAGTGGTGTCCCCCAGGGATCTGTACTGGGACCTGTGCTGTTCAACATACTCATAAATGATCTGGAAAAAGGGGTAAATAGTGAGGTGGCAAAGTTTGCAAATGATGTAAAATTTCTCAAGATAGTTAAATCCAAAGCAGACTGTGAAGAGTTACAAAGGGATTTCACAAAACTGGGTGACTGAACAACAAAATGGTAAATGAAATTCAATGTTGATAAATGCAAAATAATGCACATTGGAAAACAATCCCAACTGTACATACAAAGTGATGGGGCCTGAATTAGCTATTACCACTCAAAAAAAGAGATGTTGCCGTCATTGTGGATAATTCTCTGAAAACATCCATTCAATGTGCAGTGGCATTCAAAAAAAAAATGTTAGAACCATTAGGAAAGGGATATATAACTTACCCAAGAGATGGTTAAGAGGTTACTTGATCACTGTCTATAAGTTGCTACATGGGAAGATAGAAGACTTTTTAATTGAGAAGACAAAGAAATAACATCCAATGTCTGGAAGCTGAAGTTTGATCAATTTGGTCTAGAGATAAGGTGCACATTTTTAAAATAGAGTAATTAACTAATGGCACAACCTATCAAGATATGTGGTGGATTCACCATGACCTGAAGTCTTAAAATCAAGATTGGATGTCTTTCTAAAATATATGCTCTAGCTCAAACACAAGTTATGGGCTTGATGCAGAAATAACTGAGTGAAATTTTTGGCCAACGTTATGCATGAAGTCAAGCTAGATTATCATAATGGCCCTTTATAGACTTTAAATATATTAATTTAGTCTGGAGAATACTTAACTGTCATGTACAGAATAAAGATTGAATGCTGTATTATTCCATTTTAGTCTCATCCTACAAAGAGAACTACTAACTCCTTAAAGTTGTATTCTGTTTCAGAACGTTTCTCTTAAGACATGTAATAGATACACAGCAAACATTGGTTAATGTTACTCATTCCTACAGGAGAAATACAATGATCAATACTGTACATTTCTAAAGTACCGATTTAAATACAAAGCAATATAACCTCCTTGGAAGGTAGGAAAGTGTTATCCATTTTTAGAGATGACATATATTCACCCATTGACAACAGGTATATGACTGTCAAATATACCATTTTGAAAAAGTAAGAGAGGGGCAGTCACAACTGCATATGCTAGCAAGTTACCACATCTATCACAGATACAGGCAATTATACAGAACTCTCTTCCCAATTCATCCCTCCCTCCAGAAACATCTGATACTCTTGCTAGGTTAGCTCCTGCTCCCTTGTCTAGGAAGACTCAAAGATATCACTGTTTTTTACCTGCTCCTGTACATCTTCAAACTCTGAGCTGAGAAGCTCTATGAAGATAGGGACAGCTCCTGCTTGAATCACAATCCGAGTCTGATGGGAATTTCCAGAGGCAATGTTTGTCAGCACCCAAGCAGCTTCAAACTAGAACATAAAATACAGGGGCAACATTCACTAGCAGCATTCAGTAGCATACACAAGTAGCAGGAAGTGTAAACATCTTCTATAAAAAATAAACATTACAGAAAATTATCGTGTAACTAAACGAATTAACTGGGCTAAATTTGCAAACATTTTCAAGAATAGGGATGTAATTTAAAGATATTAATATGAGAGATGATTTACAGAAACAATATCAAATTTTCCATGGCATCTCAGCCACCATTTATTTTTGTTATGAAGTTCCACAGAAGCTTTTACTTTGTTCCATTCCCTTTCCTCTTTGCCAAAGAGATGTATATGCAAGAATGGAATCCTTATATATGAGTTTTCACACAGGAATAATTCTCAAGGCCTCTCAAGTCTCCCCGTCCAATGCACTGGTCAGCCATCTACCTGAACACGCACTGAGAACCAGAGATGGATAAATAGTCTGCTTGACACAAGCTTATTGATACATGGAAGAAAGGGGTGTCATTTTAGAATCTATTAGGAACGAATATTAAGATTTTCCTAACCTCTTTCCATGGTGTTTCCTTCTAATTACGACCTGATATTATTCTACAATAAGGAGTATAATATTTCTTTAGTTACCCCTGTGTTCTGTATCACTGTTAGGATTTATTAGTGCATGATGTATTTATTTAAAACACACACACACACACACACACACACTTACACTTACTTTTAGTTAAATTAAGATCTTGAATTAACAAAATCCACATAATTTAAAAATTACAAATATTTTAAATAAAAACAATGTCATTATTTATTAAAATGTATGGTTTGGTAAAACATTTTATCAGAAATGTTTACTGTGTCAATGGAAACGTCCCACCCACCACAATTTGATTTGATTCCCAAAGTCATATGAAAAGCTAAATATTACTACAATGTACTAGCGCATGAGTCAAAATAAGATTATCTAGAAACCAATTTACAGTACAACCAAAGAATTATAGTTGAAATGCAAAAAAGGAAACAGCATCAATAGCTGAAAAGTAAACTAGACATTATAAATTGTTCCAATTTTAACATTAGTAATGAATGTTTAAATATATAAATTATTCTTTATTCAACAATCTCTCTTTAAAAGGTTAATTTGCTTGCCAATACTACTATTCATGACTTCAGGACTACATATCTATCCTGCAACAGTCACTAACCTGCACATTGGAATTAATGATGAAATCAAATATAGTAAAGGCATACACAGAACCTTAAGGGGATAAAATCAGGGCTCAGCAAGTAAGAGGAAGGTCTGTTTTCAAACTGCAATTTTTAACTTTATGTTAATAATTTGCATTTGCAACTTTTTTCAAATAAATGTTCATTGTTCTGTGACGCAACAAACAGGATAGGCTGCAATGAGGCTTCTGGTATTTGTCAGACTGCAATAGATATCTTCAGTGAACTAGGAAGCAACAAGAAGAGTTCACAGAACAGAGGAGGATAATTTCTTTAAAAAGAGACAGTTAAGATTAAAATTTATTTACATTCCTGTCATTTTTCTTCTCTGAAGCAGGCACCTGGTGCTCCATGATCTATTATAATTGGGTTATTTTTCTTCATCTTCCAAGCACAGACTCTCCTCTTTTTTAAAAAACAAAAAGACACATACACACACACCCTCTAGCTTTACAATGTACAGCCATCAAGTGGAGCTGCTCAGAGCACTGATAGCCTCTCCAACTCCACCACCAAATGCATAAACTGAGAAGAAGTTATATGGCCTGACTAATAAACATTATGAATGATTAAGCAATCTCCTGGCAAAGTACTTTTACTTATTCACTTATTGTAGAACAAAATTGAAAAGACTTACAGCAAAGCCAGAACCCCGTATGAGGGAATCCCAAGATTTTCCATCTTTCTATAGAAAAGAATTTGGTAGATAGCTACATCTATTGCTAGTGTCCCAGTCTATGATTTGCCACCAGAAGAAACAGGAATGCTCTCCCTCATACCACCCCCCACTCCTCGCAAAAAAAAAAAAATCTTAAAAAATGTAGGGGATGATAGCAATGATGAAGACCAGAGTTGGGCATGAGCATTCATGCTGGAATCTCGTGAAGTAATGCTGTGTGTGCTTTAAAGCTTTGCTGAATTGGTTTTACATCTTGCAAAAAAATGGCGCACTCTCCTCCCTTGATGCTGACATTTTAGTGCAGATGCATAGTCCTCTGAAGCTGTCAGGTTGATGGCATAAGAACTAGACACTCAGCAATAGCACTTCGATGAAAGCTGCCGTCAGATTCAATAAGATGGCAGGGTAGGCTGATCTGGCATGAAGGGGAAGTGGAAGCAGATGCACTTCAACCTGAATAGTTCAACTGTTTTGATGGTCTACTGGCACATGCAGGCGGACGGTATTGGCTAGGCTGATTGTTAAGAAAAGCAATCAGCAGGTATGGTAAGAAGGCAGTCTGGATTAGACTACACTGACCTATGAGAGGCCAAACAGAAAACAAAAGATCTATTGGTACTGACAGATTAGCAGTGTGGGCTAGGTCACTTTGCTGCATATTATGAAAAATAAAAAACAGAGAAAGCAATCGTAAAATGGAGGACTAGATTAGACCACACAGATACATCCCCCTCATCCCAGTTAGGGTGCCAGGGGAATAGAGGGTTAACTGTCACCAGCAGGCTGGCAGTATAGTCCAGACTGCTCTGCTGACTCAGTGAGTCAAAACCAATGAGAGGAGTGATTGAAATATGGAGAAATGGCAGGCTAGGCCATGCTGCATAAACCCACTTGTGAAGGAGATGTCTGGGGAACAAATATCTGTGCACATAACCCTCAGCCTTCCCTGATGTAATGGTAATTGGTACTAAATATGGGGAATGGAGTCATTCGAGTGTGGGGTTGTTTTTGTTTGTTTCTTTCTTTTAAACTGTAGGAGAGAGTTCAAGATACCAACAAGGACTAGCTAAGGCTCTTTGGCTATGTCTACACAACAAAAAAAAGACCCACGGTGGGTCTGTGCCAGCCGACTTGGGCTTGCAGGGCTTGGGCTGCGGGGCTGTTTCTTTGCTGTGTAGACTTCCGGGCTCTGGCTGGAACCTGAGCTCTGGAACCCTGCGGGATGGGAGGGTCCAAGAACTTGGGCTCCAGCCCGAGCCCAGAATTCCAAACAGCAATGAAACAGCCCCGCAGCCCAAGTCAGCTGGCATAGGCCAGCCATGGGTTTTTCTTTACTGTGTAGACATACCCTTTCTGGAACATCTGGGGCAACACACCTGGTTACTATGGCAGGCTGAAATCGATAGGGCATCCTGCACAGTGGTTTGCAACTCCTGGATACCATAATTCATCCCAGATTGTTTTTTTCAAAATACCAGCTCCTGCTACTTAATTTCCACTCCAAGCAACTAAAAGCTTGCCTGCTAAGTTGCTGCTGTTTGAGTCAGCCCTTGTTGCCAGGTTTCACCTTGGCGGAGGGCACTGAGTAACAAGGAGCTACTGGCTTGGAGATTCTGCAAAGCTGTCCCAAATTTCTATTCCAAGCAGCTGAAAGTTTGCCTACCACATTAGTGCAGAGTGGGAGAGGCAGTGCATTATTGTACAGCTGGGCTGCAAGCAGAAGCCCCTTTGATCTTAGCTGGATCTGCTACACTGTGAACGAGGACAAAACAGGTAATGTCTGGCAGACTCCTATTCTCAAAAACCCTCTGCCAACTGGGGGCATCAAGAAGACGAAAAAAATAAAAATAATGGAAAAAGCTCTTGCCTGGAGACAGAGAGGCATAGCGAAACCTCCTGTTTCTTCAAGTGAGGCAATCATTTATCTGAACAGCTTCTCTTGCTAGTAACTACATTGTGAAGCTAGAGGGAAGTCTTCCTGTATTTTTGGTTATTTTTCTGGGGAGGGGAGGAAGAAAAGAGCTCCTTGCTCAGAAGAGGAGGAGGAATAACTCAGGTCTAATAGGTTTCAGAGTGGTAGCCATGTTAGTTTGTATCAGCAAAAAGAATGAGGAGTACTTGTGGCACCTTAGAGACTAACAAATTTATTTGAGCATAAGCTTTCGTCGGCTAAAACCCACTTCATCAGATGCATGCAGTGGAAAATATAGTAGGAAGATAGATATAGATATACAGAGAACGTGAAAAAATGGGTGTTGCCATACCAACTCTAATGAGACTAATTGATTAAGGTGGGCTATTATCATCAGGAGAAAAAAAAACCTTTTGTAGTAATAATCAGGATGGCCCATTTCAAACAGTTGACAAGAAGGTGTGAGTAACAGTAGGGGGAGAATTAACGTGGGGAAATAGTTTTTAGTTTGTGTAATGACTCATCTACTCCCAGTCTTTATTCAAGCCTAATTTAATGATGTCCAATTTGCAAATTAATTCGAGTTCTGCAGTTTCTCGTTGGAGTCTGTTTTTGAAGTTTTGTTGTTGAATAATTGAGACTTTTAGGTCTGTAATTCAGTGACCAGGGAGGTTGAAGTGTTCTCCGACTGGTTTTTGAATGTTATAATTCTTGATGTCTGATTTGTGTCTATTTATTCTTTTGCATAGATACTATCCGGTTTGGCCAATGTACATGGCAGAGGGGCATTGCTGGCACATGATGGCATATATCACATTGGTAGATGTGCAGGTGAACAAGCCTCTGATAGCGTGGCTGATGTGATTAGGTCCTATAATAGTGTTCCCTGAATAGATATGTGGACAGAGTTGGCAACGGGCTTTGTTGCAAGGATAGGTTCCTGGGTTAGTGTTTTTATTGTGTGGTTGCTGGTGAGTATTTGCTTCAGGTTGGGGGGCTGTCTGTAAGCGAGGACTGGCCTGTCTCCCAAGATCTGTGAGAGTGAGGGATCGTTCTTCAGGCTAGGCTGTAGATCCTTGATGACAAACATCTATAAAATCGCTATCAAGCGTTCTTACAACCACAATACCCACCTGCTGAAGTGAAGAAACAGATTGACAGAGCCAGAAGTCACCTACTACAGGACAGGCCCAACAAAGAAAGTAA